AGTGACAAGGATCTCAGGCGATGCCGGTGAGTCAGTGACAAGGATCTCAGGCGATGCCGGTGAGTCAGTGACAAGGATCTCAGGCGATGCCGGTGAGTCAGTAACGGCGACTTCAGGCGATGCCAGTGAGTCAGTAATGGGGACCTTGGGAATTGTAGATGAGTCAGTAATGGGGACCCCGGGTGACACTGGTGAGTCAGTAATGGGGACCTCGTGGAAGCTGGTGAGTCAATAATAGGGACCTTGCAAGATGCTGGTGAATCAATAATGATGAACTGGTGTGATGCTGGTGAGTCAATAACAGGGACCTCGGGTGACGCTGGTGAATCAGTGACGATTCAGCGTGCACCTGGTGTGATGCTGGCCAGTCAGTAATGGGCTTTGATGACACTGCAGAGAGCAACTGTATGATGATGGTCAAGCCGTACTGACTGCTGAGTTTTCCCTCCGCAGTCCTGTTATTTGTGTCCACATCCAACACATAGTAGACAATGCATCTGACACGGTTCTGCAATAAAATGCTATCAGCAAATGATTGATAAATATTCATGCTAATGCAGCCAAGACACCTAGGGGATTGGCATCTCGGCACAGCGAGTGTCTGCCTGTGACAATCTAGTTTCCCAGCAGAAACAGCGTCACAGAGGCTGTCATGGAGCAGAGGCATAGTGAGAGGTGATACATCACGACGACTCTTCTGTGATAAGATGGTGCTCCCCTGTGTGAGAGCACACTAGGCATCAGTGAAGCTGGGCGATAATCAGAGATCGCCAAATCAAACTCGCTCGAATGCAAACACCTTGGCAGGACAGCCGAATGGGAATTTTCTGAATACAAAAACAAATGACTTTTGTGTGGCATCCCACAGGCGGAGTGTGAAAGCTAACGAAGTGAGCTGCTGGTCAGCGTGGAGGAGACATTTAAGGTTAATGGGGTTGGGGGATTATGGGATTGTTGTTTTGTCTTAGGCCTTAGGTAAGAAGATGCTGATGCATTATGGGATTGCTGTTCTGTCCTGGGCTTTCGGCCAGACGATGTTGTTCTTGTGGATTCGTGAATAGAAGTGTGCCAGAGGGGACACGCTGTGGAGCACGCTGACCTGGCACAAGTTAGGGGGAACTGTCACAGCCAGAAAGATAGGATACATCTGCTAGCTGACTAGGGAAAGCCTCTTCCTGCTTACAAACCTTCGTACATTTACCATGCAGTTATTTACCGGGAGGAGGTTCCTCCAGACTCAGAAACACTGGAAAACCAGAGCAGCCTTTTACAAGCCTCTGTCAACATTACCAAGACCCCAAAATCTCACACTGCATCATATTCCATGTACATTGCATTTTGGAAAATGACTGCTGTGAAAACATCCAATTATAACCCCTGAACACGATCATTACCCAGCTCCAGTGGCTCGCCAAATAACTTTTAAACTGCATGAGGATAAAATTTCAATCCACAAATCCAATGAGTTATATACCCACCAGATTATTCCAAAACCTTGCAGAATGGCTTTGAATCTTTGGGGATCCTGGCACGAGTTCCCTCTCCAGTCACTAACCCTACCATAACCACAATGGCCTTGCAGTCACAGTCAAGAAACAAGCATAAATATACAAGTTAAAGCCTCCTCTCACTATCCAGCTAAGGTTATTCACCTCAGTTTTTTTTACATAGTGAAATCAGTGTCTTTGAATCTTCCCCATATAACCATGCATCCCCGTAGATATGTAGTTGTTCTACCTGTTTACTTTTGTATGCCTCTCACTTATTTTTAAATGCATGATGCTTGTACATGTCTTTCTTCAAGTAAATGCTAAATATTAATAATATTCATTTATTGAGTCACTGTTGAATTAATGTGAAAGCCAGTTGTCTTTTCCATTGTCCAACTGATCAGACTAGACCCAGTTATTTTCTTTCATCTTTCTCCTCTCAGGGCAAGCCCTATTTAATATTAATAATTCAGCCAATGTACCAGGTAATGGGGGCCAAATGTTACAGAATACAGCCAGTTCAGTCTAAAAGAAATCATGTCCCATATTCTTGCTCACTACGCCTTAGTTCCCTCTTTCATTGGATATTCCAAAGGTTTTTTTTCCCTTGCTTGGCACCTAACTGATTTCTGGACAACCTGGGCTTGCCTCCCTTCTAATTTTTCCCAGCACCCAACAGCCAGATTACATGATGCCTGTCAGTGGTGCGCTTGTATTCCACCAGTCTGATGGTGCTTCTGTCCCAGATAAATCCCAGCCTATGCATCAACATGGCAGCCTGCAAGCACAAAAGCACTCCTGTATGATTGGATTTACATCCCAAGACTCTTGTGGTGCCAGCAATGCCAGGGTGGGGGGAAGCAGCGGGTGGTTGAGAGGGACAGAGGAGCCATTCTCTGCTGCCCATTGATCAAGGTCTGTAACATGCATCAGTCCTAGGAACATCATCTGGGTGCAAAGACATATTTTGATGATTAGACAAACTATTGACAGTGCAAAACAACTACAAACAATGTCCTGGAAACATCAGTCAGTTAAAGCAGAACAAGCAAATTAGTGAGTCGTCTAGTAAAAACACATATCTCTATATTAGTGGTGGAAGCGGAGGGGCTGAGCAAACGTGAGCCCGCGGGAACGACCCCCCTGTGGGAGACGGTGATGCCGTGTCTGGGATCCACTGAGGAGTGGAGGTGCAACCTCACCTGTCATGTGTCACCACAGGCGGGCTGCCACTGGGACAAAGAGGACGTCTTCATTACTCCCCTGCCTTAGTGGTCATTCCTCTAGGGTCAGTATATCTC